CCCCAACCAGCTCCCATCTGGCTGCCCCACAGTGCCCCAGCTGACAACTGGTCTGAGTCCAGTGCTGGGCCTGGGAAGGCAGCCATCAGCCCTGCCCAGGGCAGGACGGGGTCCCTGAGGCCAGCAGCATGTGCCTGTTCAAAGGCGTTTGAAAGCCATCTCCCCAACTGTGGCCGGTTCAGAGTCCTTTTCCTGATTTTGAGGAGGGAGCTCAGATCTATGTCGGCAGCGGATTCTCTCACATGCTGGTTTTAAACCTGCCTCCCTGAACCTCCCGCCCAGGCTGAGTCTGTGCCTTTGCTCTTTCAAATGGGGGCAGAAGAGGGCTTCAAGGCTGGGAGCATCCGGGTGCTGGCGGGTGGTATTTTGGGCTCAGGCTGCTGCAAACCAGCTCCTCCCTTGGACCTCCAGCTGGAGGTGGTGTGGAGGGCAGGAGCACGGGGCAAAACCTCGGCGGGCCTCTGCCATTTTGTGTTCGTCTCTGGGACTCCGCTGACAGCTGGGCCCCAGAAGAGAAGGTGCGCTGGGGAAAGTGTTCTGTGCCTCGGTGGTGCTGTGAGGGGTTGAGATGGCAGCCAGCTGGAGAAAGCTGTTAGCAAAGGGCATGGGGCAGCCTCAGAAGTCACCCGGTCCCAGCCCTCCGTCTGCACGATGAGAGACTCAGGCCTGAGGACAGTGGATTTGGGGGTCACAGAGCTACTCGGGAGTGCTGTCCACATTGCTACCTCCACCTGCAGACCTGCTCCAGCTCTGGCCACTCGGCCCCGGCTCCCACCACGGGCCTTGCTGTTTTGTCAGAGCTGGAGCAGGGCTGGCTTGAGGGTGGGGTGTCTGTGAGCCTGCTCAGAAGTTGAGGAAAACTGGGAGCAAGAGAGAGGGTCACCCCCCGCAATGGTCCCTGAATCCGAGGCCACTCACATCTTTCCCATTTCCCTTGGCCCTTCCTAGCCAGCTAGGGGAAGCGGCTTCCCAGGGGAGCCTTCCACTCTAGGAAGGAAATTGTTTTCAAAGTAATTGCGTCTGGGATGGTGTTAGTAATCTCTCTGCATGCACCAGGCCCCTAAGGGGCTTGGCAGCCCTGGAGACTCACCAGGGCCGTGGCCAAGGCTCTCCACCCTGGCTCCCTCCGAGACCTGCAGTTCTTGTGGCCACTCAGAGTCTCCCCAAGGCTGGACTGCAGCTCTTCCTCAGCCTCTGCCAGCCACCCCGTCCTCCAAGTCAGAGGCACCTAGGAAGGTACCCACATGTCCCCAGAGGCCTCTGCACCCAAAGACTCACTCAAGATGGAGTCCAGGGCTCCCCAACATGGGCTGCTTTGCTGTGAGCTTTCTGCTCTGGCCTCGGGGGGCTTCGTAGCCTCAGGGCCCATCCCAGGGGCAGGAGCATTTTGTATTGTAGTTTTTTCTTTTTCGCCTGAAAGCAGGATCCCACTATTGATACCGATTTTTGACACAAGCAGGAATTCTGCGTCCAGCACTGCATCTGGGAGAGTGGAAGGGCTGTGCCTGGCTGGTTGGCTGAAAAGCCAGCCTCCTTTCGTTTCAGGTAGAGGAAGGAATTCAAAGTATTAATGTCAGAAATGTCCAAACCCGTGGAGAATTTTAATGGGTTTATTTGAGCCAAACTGATGACATTTGCCAGGAAGCAAAATCTCAACGGATTGAGAAAGTGCTCTGTAGAATGGCAGTCTTACAGCTTATTTTATACATTAGAATAAAAGGAGAAGATGTAAGGCGGGGTACATGAAATCCGTTGTTGGTAGATTACGGAAGCTGGAGAAAGCAAAGCAGGGAAATCTTTGCCATTGGGTGCAATGAAGAGGCAAGTGCTTTTACATTGTGGGTACAGGACAGTTAACAACTAACGTTTCCAGCACATAGAGATAGTATCTGGGCAACAAGGTAGCAATGAGGGGTTCTGTGGTCTCACACTCTGGTGCAGCGGGTGTGCCCTGAGGGGTCTGGAAAGGAGATGACGCTGATAGTCTAAGGGTCTGTTATCTTAGATGCACAGAGACAATAGACCGGCTCACTTACGTAAAGACTGACCTTTGTCAGGAACACAGGGACGCTACTGGCCTAGGATGTGACTGCCGTCCACGATCAGCTTTTAGGGCTTTTAGGTTGGAGAAGACAAAGGAGGGAGGAATCTGTAGGATTGGATAAAAAGTATAAGGAACAGACACACACTTCTTTTACAGGTGGGTACAGGACAGCTAGCAGTCAACAATAGTGCAATAACAATAACAATGAGGAAATCTTGGTCTCTGCTCTGGTGGGTGGTTGTGCCCCGAGGAGTCTGGGGGTGAGGAGGGGGGTTTACCCCACATTCCAAAGGTGTGTTAAGGTAGATGCAGAGACAATAGACAGGCTCGGTTAAGGTAAAGATTGACCTTTGTCAGGGAAGATACCGGCCTAGGAAATGACTACCTTCCGTGACCTGCTTTTAGCTAGAAAGTTAATTTCGGGCTGTATGGTTACTTTATAGTAGATCGCAGGCCTCCCCTGAGCCTGTCAGGTTTAGTATGTGGCCCTTTTCATCCACACCTACTTCCAAAGTGTGTAATTGGAACCGATGTGCTCAGCAGCTGGCAGAATTCCTGGGAAAGCAGGGATCCCCTTGGCTGGGAGGGAGCCAGCAGGACTTTTTATTTTTAATTGAATCAGGCCAGCCATAGAATGGACAGTTCTTTCTCAAGCAGGCTTCCCATCCCTGCCAATGGCTCTCCCCTAACTCCGGTCCCTCTCCAATCCCTGGGCCTGGAGTGGGCTGCCCACCCATCCTCCCCAGCGCTCCTCTGCACCCCCCGGGGCCTGTCTGGGGTGAATCATGAGGGAGCGGTGTGTGCTGCCGATGGGAGCCTGTGGAGGGTCAGGGTGCATTACTGTGAGCTGACGTAAGAGGGAGGCCGGGCTGCCTGGGGAGGCGGCAGCATTCAGCATGTCTGTTCCTGGCAGAGCTGGTGTTTCCTGAAAGCTGAGAGCAAGGATTCTCCAAGCCACTGGAGCTGACCAATCCTCGTGCAGCTGACCCCGAGCGTGCTCTCTTTCCTGATGTGGGGGTGTCATGGAGAACACGCTGGAGGCTGAGGTTCCAAGTGCAGGGCCTGCAGGAAGTGGGGAGGGGCACAGGTTCCCGGAATTATCAACAGTCCCCCTGGGTGGCTGCAGCTCTGCTGAGCACACATCCAGAATTTTCCCGAACAGTCCTGGTTTCAAAGATTCCGTGCCATTGCGCCCACAAGCATACTAGAATTGTTACAAGTCTCAATTTTTGGTTAAGGAAAGATATGGGTGGTGGCCGTAAGGTTTTTCCTCCCTCTGTGTTCACAACCCATCCACTTTGAGACAAAGCAGGAATTCCCAGGCCTGCCGGACCCGCAGGGACAGGACCTGGCTCTGTCCCCTCCGGGGGCCAGGCCGCCCAGGGCCCCTCTGAGCAGCCAGCACCGATGCATCTATCCCTCTGCCATCTCCCTGGGCTCTGGCAAGCTGGGACGAGCACACGGACCCTGCTGCGCTAGGACAGTGTGAGAGGACAGGGGTCCTCTCGGCCCTCCGCCTTCACAAATCCCGCCATTATTCAAGCCCAGTTCAACCCTACCCTCTGTGAAGTCGTCCCTTGTCACTGCAGCTGCCCTTCTCTCCTCTCTTCCTTTTCCGCTTTACCCAGTACAGTCTTATTTATTTATCTTACAAACACGTACGTAGCCCTTTCAATGTGTTGGACACCGGTGCGCAGGGCTTTCTGAGTATTAACTCATTTAATTTTCCTAACGGTCTTATCGAGGGGATCCTAATGCTACTTTAACTTGGAGATGGGGAAACTGGGCACAGTACCCTGTCCGGTAACCAGTTCATTGCTCAGTGATAGCTACTGTTTTAGAAAAAGCTTGGACTCCCTCCCCTGCCTTCCAGAAAGAGCCTGCTTGGACGAGGTGTGGAGACAAGCAGCCGCTCTGGTCCCGAGTGAAGGGTTGATGAGGTCTGTAGCTGAGTTTCATCACCATTATAATATTTTTATCAAGCAAACTGTACTTCAGTTCAGCAGAAGGCATAACTCTAGACTGTCCTCATTGGATTTGCATCGTTTGGGATCTTGTATATCATCAGGAGAGAGCTTAATAATCAAGCTGTACTGCTTATTGACAGGGAAATAAACGCAGGGGACGACAACAAATGTTGAAATTATCTGGGCAATACAGCTTTATGTATTTATCTTACAAATTCAGAGAGAGAGAGAGAGAGAGAGAGAGAGAGAGAGAGAGAGAGAGAAAGAAAGAGAGAGAGATTGGTTGCCTCCTGTACATGCCCTGACCGGGGACTGAACCCACAACCTAGGTATGTACCCTGATGGGTCTGGTCTCTTTTAGATCCCTTTGCATTTTGTGTTTATAGGCTTTGGTATCATCTTACTACACTGAGTCGGTCCCTAGTCTTCTAGCTGCCTGGGGGGCAGGAGGCCACGTCCCTTCCCAGGTCCTGCCCCCCAGTGCCCAGTGCAGGGCCGGCGTGCGGGGCGCTTGCAGACGCGCTGTGCGGATCCCCTTCCATGAAGCCGGCTGAGCTCCAGGAGCAGAGACCTGCCCACCGGTCCCCCCAGCAAGTTCCCAGTAGCCAGCACAGCGGCTGGCCCGGGGCAGGTGCCCAATGCCCAGGTGCAGAAGGAATGAGGGGTGGGTGCCAGGACCCCCGGTCACCTGCCCCGTCCGGCCCTCTGCAGAATGTTCGCGGCCCGGAAGAAGCCGCGCTACTGGCGGTTCTCCATGGACTGCACGGGCACGGAGGCCCACATCTCCAGCTGCAAGCTGGGCCCACAGGTGACGCGGGACCCCGTGAAGAACGTCACCTGTGAGAATGGGCTGCCGGCAGTGGTGAGCTGCATGCCTGGCCAGGTCTTCAGCCCCGATGGACCTTCGAGATTCCGGAAAGCCTACAAGCCAGAGGTAAGGATGGGGCAGGAGTCTGGCCACGGGGCGCCTGGGTGTTGGGGGTGGTGGTGGCGGTTAAGGGAACAGACAGGGATCCCCAGGAGAGAGTGAGGAAAGCCAGCCCCAACTCAGACTCCCTTTCTAGAGGTCAGGGCCGGCCTCACCGACAGCCACTTCCAGGTGTGACAGGCAGCTGGGCTCCTGCCCCCAATCATTAGCACCCCTTCCACCACCGGCCGCCCCACTCTGAGACCCAGTCCCCTCTGTGAGACAGATACCAGGCGAGCAGAGTGCCTGGTTACCCACACGGTGCTTCTGCACAGCCCCTGGAGGACAAAATGCTCTAGGGCTTTTGGAAATGCGCTACAACCTCAGAAGCACGTAGCATGAGCTACAAAGGTTTTCAAGCATATTTTGGTTTATTTTGCAACAGAAAGGATTAAAATTTTTAAAAGCTCTCACAAAGATAGGAAATGAAAACCTGCCATTACCATACGTATGTTTGTGTACCAGCACCTGTGAGTGTGTGTGTGTGTACATGTGTGTGCATGCGTGTGTGAGTGTGTTCAGAGATGGAAGTGGGGAGGGGCAGTGGTTCTCAGAATTATCAACAGTCCTCCTGGGTAGCTCTTATACTAATAAAAGGGTAATATGCTAATTAGACCAGGAGACCTTCCGGACTTCCTTCTGGACAAAGCCATGGTGGCGGGGCCAAGGCAGAGGCGGTTAGGGGTGATCAGGCCATGAGGGAAAGGCAGTTGGGGGCGAGCAGGCTGGCAGAGGGGGGGCAGTTGGGGGCCATCAGGCCGACGGTGGGGGGAGGCAGTTGGGGGTGTGCAGGCCGGCAGGCAGGTGAGCGCTTAGGAGCCAGTGGTCCTGGATTTTGAGAGGGATGTCCGACTGCCGGTTTAGGCCCAATTCCCCCCGAGGGGTCCCAGATTGGAGAGGGTGCAGGCCGGGCTGAGGAACACCCCCCACTCCCCCCGTGCATGAATTTTGTGCATCGGGCCACTAGTACTAGTATAAATGAACATCCCATTTCAACAGACTGGTTTCCTGGGACAAGAGAACTATCCCAAACAGGGCAGGCTTGGCGCTTCCCTGAAGAGAGAGTGCACTTCTATTTCCCTCGAGAATCAGGGAGAAACTTTCCTTGTTCCTGCTCTTCTTTTTTCCTATGTCCACCAATGGGTCCCTGGGACCTGCATGTTCATGGAGACCGGGGGTGGGAATAGTGGGTGGGAAATCGCACATGCAAGAGGAGAGGGAGAGGTGGAAAAGAGCACTGAGCACTTATTAGGGAATGAGTCCCTGTGCCAGATAAAACCTTGGAACTTAGGAATTAGGTGGCTGGACAGAGGTGAGCTCCAAGCCAGCTCTGACCACGGCAGAGGTAGGAGGAGGGGGAAAGGTCATGATGGGGGCAGATGGTGTGTCCAGGCAGTGGGGCCAGAGCAGACCCTCCCAAACCTGGCAGGTTTTGTTGACCGAGGCAGCTTCATTCCCTCCCCTTTCCCCTCTCCTTGCCCCCCTGTCTCTCCTCTCCGCCCTCTCCAATTGCCCCTCCCCACCAACATCAATGACCTGCTTTGGGAAAGGGGGTAACAACACATCCACCCCAAAGGGAAACCAGGACAGAAGACAATAAAGCATACTAGGGTCCTGCCCACACTGGGGCCCCGCCCACACTGGGGGTGGAGTGTTTGGACAAAAGAAGAGGCCTTCAAGGAAAGGGGTGAAGTGAGTGTTGCAGCCCAGCATCAACCAGAGGGCCCCCCACAGGGGCCTCCAAAGTGTACAAACCTGACCACACAGGTGTGCAGCCCTGCGACACCTAGACAGT